GATAACTCAAATGAAATGACATTCATATGGAAATCAAGCAAATAAACTTGTTCACAACATCTTACAAAGGAATCTCAAATGAAATACATCAACAATATAAAGTTTGACTATTGTTGGAAATAAAAACGAGTTACCGACTAAATTAAACGTAATGGAGATGGTAGAAATCGATTCAAATCTTCTCTCTTGCTTCCAAAAACCGTTCCTAGGCCATATCTCCATCAAACGATGGTTTCCAAGTCAATTTATACCAAGAAGATGGAAAAACTGCTCAAGATTCAAAAATCGTCAAAATTGGTCCCTGTAGTAAAATATGCTACTCTTGCATAGTAAAACATGAAAATTTGATGCTATCAAGTGCGTTTAGGAACAACGGTGGCGAGGAATGATGGATTTAGGGACAATGGTTTATGGAGAATGAGAGGTGGGGGAACGACGGTGGTGAACCAGAGCAAGGCCGAGAGAAGAGGTAGGGGTGCATTAATGGGTAAAAAAATAAAGCAAGAAAAAAAACACAAAATATGTAGAAAGACGAAAATACCCTTCACCGAACAAACGTTTTGTAATTGAGTTCATTAAAGGGACCACTTTCATACAAAAATGCAAATTATAGTGACCATTCTCATACTTTTCACCGTTTAAGGACCACATTCAATAATTTGTTTAAAACCACAAGGACCAAACCGTCGTTCACTCTTAAGTTACATCTAACCATTTTTAAATCTGATGATAACTTAGAAATTAATATCTTAAGTTGCATCTAACCATTTTTAAATGATTGATGACATAAAATTTGGTTAGTATTTAACGATAAAGTCAGGTTCATACCAGAAAATTAATCAAATTACAAAAATAAGAAAACGGTCGAACCGTGTTTGATTTTATACTGAAATCACGTGTAAAATCACACATGATTCACACGACTAGGTCGCAGGCCACATCAACTGCTTATACCCTTGTATTGATTGTTAGTGTAAAATTACATGTGATTTTATATATTATTTAACCATTTTTGTATTCTTTTATTTGATTACTGTTTCGTTTGAATCTCAGTATTTAATAATATCTACCCATAATTTAATTCTTTTTATTTTTTGTAATTTAAATTAATTACAAAAAATTGAAGGTGTGCGTGGGTTTTGATAGACATGGACCCAGTGATGGGCCTTCCACCACTCAATATTTCTATTGGCTCACAACCCCTTCTCGTGGACTTCCTTAAATCCATCACCTCTCCCCTTTGTTTTTATTATAATTAAAAGGTATTCGTGTAATGCAACAAGATAAAACTTGATTTTAATATTTTATTTTATTTTTTATCTTAGTCGATGTTATAGTACGATCTTATGTGATTTTGAAAAAACGATGATGTTTTTATTTTGAATAAGATGTAAACTTGAAGATATCATAAACATTTGACAAAAATATATCGATAATAATAGCAAATTAACTATTTAAAATTCTAATTTTTTGTGTAATTTCTTAATTCAATTTTTTTATAATAATTTAATTTAGGTTCAATAACCAAATAATATAATTTTCTTATAAAAAATAATAATTAATTATTTTGTTAGAGCTCGATAATTATCCTGATTATATTTTAGATTTTTTATATTTTAAAATGAGATGTTTATCCTCTATTTGATTATGTTTATCCGCAGTTAGTTACACGAATTTAAACATGGTGCAAATAAGTTGTACTTATGTATAATTTACTTGTAATCTTGAATTTTAAGTAATATGCATCAATATACAGTACTTTATACATAAAAATGAGTTTTAAGAGTTTTTGTCAAATGATTTATAATATAGTATAGATTTTTTAGGTAAGATATATAATCTTAAATCAGATTTTAATTAAATTCATGATCTTTTTATGAGTATAAATTCATTTTTTCTTATACATTAGAAGGCTATTAATTTAATTAAAAACTCATTTTCATTTACCTAAATGATTCACTTGTTTGTAGGAGTGTTCATGAGTTGAATTAATCGAGTTGAAGACATTTGAACAACTCAATCTAATATTAATGGTATGAAATTTTTTTAACCCAACCCAACTCATTTGGGTTGGTCGGGTTGTGTTTAAATAAAGTAAAATCAATATTGGGAAGATAAAAATAAAGGAAACATTCCTTTGAAATACGCTTAACCATTCAAGAAATATACGAGTTAATCAGATGTTTAGCTATTACATGTAACTTTCCGATAATGTCCTCTTATGAGTTTCATTGCTCGTTGTTGCCGAGTCGTTATTGGTAACCAATACGTATTTATGAGAAATACAAATAATTCTAGAGAAGCAACTAAGACTTTCATTGTGTTATCGGGTTGGTTGGGTCACTTTGGGCCTAACCCAATTTCAACCCAATAGATTCAGTTTTCCCTAATTTTGTATCGATTATATGTCGGATTACCTTGGGTTAAATTTTTTCGGGTTGGGTTGATCGGTTTTTTGATCACCCCTACTTGTTTGCATCATGGGCGGACCTAGTTAGGTGCCATGGGTGACACGTGCCACCGTATCGTTTCTTCGCCGAAGGGTAAAAAATTTAGGATTCGTGAACGGTGCAACCGTATTAATTTGTTGTGTGCCACCATATGTATTTTGAAACTACAATGAGAACAAGTTTTATTTGGTAAAGTTGGTTTGCAAGGCTTTTATTCCACCCCGCATTAAAGTACGAATCATGTTAGTGTCATTTTTTTAGTCAAATGGTGCCACCATTTTAAAAAAAAAAAATTCCGTATATTTGTTTCTTATAGTCAAACGGTGCCATCGTTTGAAAAAAATTCCGTATATTTGTTTCTTATAGTCAAACGGTGCCATCGTTTGAAAAAAATTCCGTATATTTGTTTCTTATAGTCAAACGGTGTCACCATTTGAAAAAAAAAATTATATATATATTTTTTCTTATGGTCAAATGGTGCCACCGTTTAAAAAAAATTATGGGTCCGTCTTTGGTTTGCATGTAATTATCTTATTTTATTCTGGGTCTGCCTAACTTGTATATACCTTGATTACAAGGCCTTTTAAGATAACTGGCATAAAAAACCATTAAATTGTTCTGAAGAGATTTGAATTGGGATTGAGTTTGACAGTATTCAATACTAAATATGTACTCATGGAGGGAGGGGAGGCAATGGATTCATCTTAGGCGGTAAGCAAAGTCAGCGTACTTCCTCTTCAACAAAAAGTTCTCAACAAATTTAAGAAATTTACTTAATGTTTACGGTGTTAGGTTCTAGTGAGAACTCCTCCTTGATGATCGTGAGGACCACTTTGTGGCCGTCGATCACATTTTTCCATATCTGATCAAAGGAAGCTGATTAGAGGTCGTTTATGTGAAGCAGAGGCAATCTCATTGGGTGTTACGCATCTGGGCAGTGTAACATACCTTAACATAATAAGAAATGTTAAGGTTTGTTATTGTGTATTAATGTTCATTGTTTTTCCATGTTAAAGTTTGTCAAAGTTTTTCATGTTAAGGTATGTGACATATGTTAAATATTGTTTAGATTTTTTAATGTCAGTGAAAATATCTTAAAATTCAATTTTTTCATGTTAAGTCATGTTAAAGCATATCCAACAGCTATGTTATTTCAGAAACTTTGGAAAAATATGCTCCATCGATTGTGCTAAACTCTCTTATAAAATAAAGAAAAAAAGCGAGAAAATGGAGAAATCTGCAAACTTAAAATAAAAGTGTCTAAAAAGGTTGTCAAGGTCTATCGAGCTCCGTATCCGCCTACATCAGTCATCAAAAGTATGGTTTATTTACGGTCTTGCCACTGCGTTTTTGTAAGTCATCCAAAGGCAACGAGGGAGTGTCTTTGGTTTAATGACTTTTTTAGTACTTCTTGATTTGTAAGTTCAAGCCTTTTTAAATATACTATTATCTCCATATGGGTTGGGTTCATGTGAGACTAACCTATTTTCGTGAGACAATATTTTTATATTTGAAACTTTATAACAAAATGTTGTGAAGGTAAAACAAAGTTGAACCTTCATAGAAAACACTGTAAAAGTTTTAAGTATAAAAATGTTATCTCACGTGTCTCACGAGTCTCATGACACGAAAACAGCCTTGTCTCACATGATCCCAAGTCATATCCATCTTGAATTTTAAAGCTTAAAGATTTTACAAGAATTCATTAAATGTGTTATTGTTATATGACTTAGTTTTCTTTTTGTAATCGTGAGTTTTCAGGTCAACTTATGTGGACCGACTAGTTCTTACATGATTACGGATGGCCTGGAGTTATTGTAGGTGAACTTAATGGCGACGAGGCTTTTGGTAATGCTTGGATTCAAACCTAGGGAATATGAGGTTTCCGCTACATCCCCTGATCGTTAACCAATGCGTTTCAACCCAAGTGGTTGTTAGAACTGGCAAAATGGTCGGGTTGGATTGAGCAATCTAGGCAATGCAAAGTTGGTTCGAGTCAAAACGAGTCATTTGGAATATGAGTCAAACGGGTTGCAAACATGTTGACCTGTCATTGCTAAATACATCACCAAACTATACATATCAAATTATAACATCAAAATATTCTATAATCTTTTCACATGCCTTCTTCACTCTCATTTACCCATCCAATCACGTTCTATCAAATCCAATCCATATACCAAACTCGGAAGGAACATATTCAAGCAAAAGATTAATTACTGACAACCTCAACAGCCCCCACACAGAACCCACCCCTAGGAACCATAAATAAAGAGACATTTTACAGCTGACACAACGACTGAGACTAGCCGAGGGGGTCATGCCCATCTTCCGCAGTATGTATTTAAGTAAAGTCGCTTGATTTCTTTATCAACTGAGCTACACATCCGAGAGCACAAAACGTATTTCTGGTAAGGAGGGGCATTTTGGTCATAAAGGAACTCAAATTTCCCCATCCAAAAACCCCTAAACTCAATGATATGTTGTTAATTTTCAGGCCACATAACAATTATCCCTCTTTTCTTTTCTATCCCAAAACCCAAATCCATATATTGCAGTTGAAGATGGCGTTATCCCCTTCCACCATAACCAGAAGCTTCTAGTGGCAGCACAGACTCTCTCACCATGGCGGCAGAAGCTGTTGCCTTGTCATCAAATACCGCGGCTTCACTCTGCAACTTCTCCGGTTCCAATGGCGGTTCCTCCACCAGGCCGCTCCGTCTTTTCCTTCTTTCTCCCGCCACCTCCCTCCGTCGTCACCATCACCAACACCGTAGTCTTACGTCTTCTTTCTTCGGAACTCAACGGCTTGCTCCGAATAAATCAATTTCTCACTTCCAAAAGAGGAATCTTTCGGTGTTTGCAATGGCTGCTGCTCCTGAAGGTCTGTTTGTTTGCTTAATTCGATTGAATCACTTGAATTTTGAAGCAATTACGTATGTAATTGATTGAAAATTTTGATTACAGTGGAGATTAGGGGTTTTAGGGTTCAATTTTTGTAGTTATTGAGTTATAGGTATGTGCAATTTGCATACTGGATGAAATATATTTGCAATTGGGTTATTGATTCGAGTATAAACCCTTGCTTTTCCCTCTTATTGTTCATATATGATTCATACCTTCTGGTTATTGCATCATCTATGATTTAAGTTGATGAAATTGTGGAAGTTTAAGAGTTCAATTTGAAATGGGTAGTTTAGTATTTCACGGTCTAATGTATACGGACATGATAGAACATGATAGTATTCAGTGTTTGTTAAGACAGAAATGGACATGATAGAACAATTGTTGATATCTTTGCAATTGATAGAGTTGGTTTGCACAAACTTTTCTCCCTTTCCAAGCACATGTTCGAAGCACATTTGTATCATTTTCTTAGTTTTTAACTTTTAATTTCAGGTTTATCATATTTCTGAAAACTTTTGGGATAAAAGTCTCGAACACTGGGCCTGCCGTATAAAAAAGAAGGAACTAACCAACTGACAAATGATAATTTTGTAAACTACCATAGCTTCATTTGTTATGGTCAAAATGGTGCCACCACTTTAAAAAATATCTTGGTCAACCTCAATTTGTTTATTCGATTTTACGTTTGTATTTTCCAGATGGAAAGCGGGAGGTTCCTTTGAAGGACTATCGTAATATCGGCATTATGGCTCACATAGATGCCGGAAAGACTACTACAACCGAACGTGTCCTTTTCTACACGGGTCGGAATTACAAAATCGGTGAGGTACACGAGGGTACCGCCACAATGGACTGGATGGAGCAAGAACAAGAGAGAGGAATCACGATAACTTCGGCTGCAACCACCACGTTTTGGAACAAACATCGGATTAACATCATCGATACTCCTGGCCATGTCGACTTCACACTTGAAGTCGAGCGAGCTCTCCGTGTTCTTGATGGTGCCATTTGTTTGTTTGATAGTGTTGCTGGAGTTGAACCCCAATCTGAGACGGTCTGGAGGCAGGCTGATAAGTACGGGGTGCCGAGAATTTGTTTCGTTAACAAAATGGACCGAATGGGGGCGAACTTCTTTAGAACCCGCGACATGATTATTTCGAATTTGGGTGCAAAACCACTTGTGCTCCAAATCCCGATTGGGGCAGAGGAGGTTTTCAAAGGGGTTATTGATCTTGTGAGGATGAAAGCTATCGTTTGGTCCGGTGAAGAATTGGGTGCCAAGTTTTCATATGAGGATATTCCTTCCGATCTTCAAGATTTAGCAGAAGAATATCGGGCGCTAATGATTGAGACGATTGTCGAATTGGATGACGAGGTTATGGAGGGGTATCTTGAAGGGGTTGAGCCAGATGAGGAAACCGTTAAGAAGTTAATCCGGAAAGGAACCATCGGAGGTAGTTTTGTGCCGGTTTTATGTGGCTCGGCTTTTAAGAACAAAGGGGTTCAACCGTTGCTTGATGCTGTTGTCGACTATTTACCCTCTCCGCTTGACGTCCCACCTATGAAGGGTACTGATCCGGAGAATCCAGAAATCGAAATCGCAAGGCTCCCGAGTGACGAAGAACCGTTTGCCGGGCTCGCTTTCAAGATCATGAACGATCCTTTTGTAGGATCGCTTACGTTTGTAAGGATATATGCTGGGAAACTTGCTGCTGGATCGTATGTAATAAATGCAAACAAAGGAAAGAAAGAAAGAATCGGGAGATTACTTGAAATGCACGCGAATAGTAGAGAAGACGTTAAAGTGGCGTTGGCTGGTGATATTGTTGCTCTTGCAGGGTTGAAAGATACGATTACTGGTGAAACATTATGTGATCCCGAGCATCCGATTGTGCTCGAGAGGATGGACTTCCCTGATCCTGTCATAAAAGTTGCTATCGAACCCAAGACCAAAGCAGATGTGGATAAGATGGCAAATGGTTTAATCAAGCTTGCTCAAGAAGACCCGTCTTTCCACTTCTCACGTGATGAAGAAATTAACCAAACTGTCATCGAAGGGATGGGAGAATTGCATCTCGAGATTATCGTTGATAGGCTCAAGAGGGAATTTAAGGTTCGTTTATTTGATATAGTTTACACGCTTTTCGATATATGTTTTGTTCTACAAGCTAGGGGTCTTCACGGAAACAACCTCTCTACCCCTTGGGGTAGAGGTAAGGTTTGCATACACATTTTAGGGGATGTTTGTTTGGTTGGTTTTCCGTCAAGTCCTGTATGGATTAAGTTTGTGTGGACTGTGGATTAATCTGTCTGTATAGATTGGGAATGTTTTTGTTTAGGAGGGCTTTTTCGTAGATGGAAGGAGCGCGTTTTTTAATTCGGAGACTTGGTGGCTTTCTGCATAAAGGTCTCTCCAAGAAGATTACTGAATAAGCCACTTTCTATATATCATGTATAGCTGACCAAATAAGGGGCTGTTTGATAGCAGCTTAATGAGCTTAATTGGACTTGCAACTTATTGTTAGCTATACATGACTATTTGGTAGTGGCTTAATGATATAGAAAGTCGCTTATTCAGTAAGTTTCTAGGAGTGAGCTTTATACAGAAAGCTAAGTTTTTTTCAAATCCACCCATCCCAATTAAAACACACTCCTTTCATCTATGAAGAAGCCCTCCCACACAAAAACCTTCCCAATCTGAAAATAGATTAATCCACACAGACAACTTTATCTATATAGGACTTAATAAAACACTAACCAAACAGCATCTAAGCCGAGTCCCGTTAAGCTGTGAACAAACAGGCCTTACTTTAGGATTTCCTGGGTCCATTACAACATTCATAACGTTCGGTTGCTTGCAAATTATCAGGTAGAAGCGAATGTAGGCGCACCACAAGTAAACTACCGCGAAAGCATTTCTCGAGTAGCAGAAGTGAAGTATGTCCACAAGAAACAGTCGGGCGGTCAAGGACAGTTTGCCGATATAACCGTGAGGTTCGAGCCCTTAGAGGCCGGCAGTGGATATGAGTTCAAGAGCGAGATTAAGGGTGGTGCAGTCCCAAGAGAATACATTCCCGGTGTGATGAAAGGGCTGGAAGAGTCAATGTGTAACGGAGTGGTTGCGGGATTCCCCGTTGTTGACCTTCGGGCAGTTTTAACCGATGGTTCTTACCACGATGTTGACTCTAGCGTCCTAGCGTTCCAGCTGGCGGCAAGAGGAGCTTTCCGTGAAGGAATTAGGAAAGCCGCACCCAAGATTTTGGAACCGATAATGAGAGTCGAAGTTATCACACCTGAAGATCATTTGGGAGATGTAATTGGTGATCTTAATTCCAGAAGAGGACAGATTAATAGCTTTGGTGATAAACCCGGTGGACTCAAGGTATGCAAACTCATTTCATTTACCCAGGCTTTATAAGACGCCAAATATGTCTGAATGCCCTAATATACTAAGTCTATAGGACCGTAAGAAGCTGGTTTTGGAATAAAATGTCCTATTAGTTTTTTGTATGACATTATTTAAAAAAGTGTCCTATAAAAGACTTGTTTATAGGACAATTTTCAATAGTGCCTTATAAAAAAACTAATTTTGGCTATGTTTCGCAAGCCAGCGATAAACTAGCTTTTAGTTGATAAGTTAGTTGATAAACTAGTCATGTCTGGTTAAACTAGCTAATAAGCTAGTGACAAGGTAACATGACCTAAAAAGATATATATATATATATAATATATATAGGGTCAGGTTTTGGGGGGAACCGCCAAAAAAATGAAGAACTGAGGAGCACCTCGGTAACCATACATCTAAATGGTATGCACGTGTGCATACAAGTAATTTGTAAATCATTTGTCCGAGCATGCACATGTGCATAGAAACCAAGAAACAACTTCAATTACTTATAAGCACATGTGCATATCATACGAATGAATGGTTACCAAGATGTTACTTAGTTTTTCATTTTTTGGGGGTTTTCCTTGAACCTCCCTATATATATATATATAGAGAGAGAGAGAGAGAGAGAGAGAGAGAGGGTTGGGTTACGGTGAGAAGAAGAGTTAAAAGGTGAGAAGCGTAAGAAAGAATCTCCACCCTTGGATGCACATTAAGATGAGATGCACATATGCACCGGATCAATGATTGTATCAAGTGCGATTCATGAGTGGGTTTAAGTTTAAAGGTGATCAAGGGTCTAGATCCCTTCTTATGCTTCTCTCTCTCTCTCTCACACACACACACACACACACATATATATATATATAGTTAGTAGGAGGTTTAAATAAGAAGGCTAAATATAGTGAGAAGGGAAGATTAATGAAAGGTTCATATGTGAATCTTTGAAAAAAAATCCAATTGAAGATGAATATGTGAACTCCATATGAATAATATGTAACATCGGTTCACATTTACATCTTCAAATGAGTTTTTTCAATTATCCACATATGAACCTTCTCTTAACCTTTCCCTCTTGCCTTCTCACAATATTCAACCTTCTAATTTGAACCGACCCCTCTATATTGAAAAATAATTGAAAATATATAAAGCGCATAATTGGAGAGGAGTGGAAAAAGCTCCCGGAGCTTATTGAAACGTTAGTGGAATTAGCTTATTGCTAATTAAAACAGGCTTCCCAATATAGTAAAAAAATAAGATGGCTTATGGTCGGCATTTATGGAATCATGGGGTGTTTTGAACTGCAGGTGGTGGACTCCCTCGTGCCGCTAGCGGAAATGTTCCAATACGTGAGTACGCTAAGGGGAATGACGAAAGGTCGAGCATCGTACACGATGCAACTAGCGAAATTCGATGTCGTACCTCAACACATCCAGAACCAGCTTTCCGCTGCTAAAGAAGAAGCAGTGACAGCTTAATTCATCCATAGCTTCGTTCTTGTGGGTAATGTAATTCTTGATTGGATATAGGGAATTTTTCATCAAAATTTTATACATGTTTTAATTAATAATCCATTCATAATTTTGTGCCCATATTGCTCATATTGTGATTTATAATTTCATAATAGGTATTTATTGTTTTTTAATAAGTTTTCTTTTTTGCATGCACCTTTTTATACGTGAGGGTTTTGATAGATACAACTGCTCTACTTTTTAAGATAAATTTCAAATTTGCATATGTATCATCCTTGACTCTAAAGATGGCCAAAATGTGGTCAGGCTTGGTGGAGGACCAACATTGGCCCAAAACCTTAACCGTTAAGAGATCGGTTAAGGATTTCTACATGAAACCGGTTACAAGGCCCGATCAATTATATGGAGGCCCTGTCAAATCTTTTAGAAACTCCCGATGGAGACGATTTTTGACCCGGCCATCCAAAAGTATCGATTGGTTTTGGTTTAAGATCAAAAGAGCGATCAAGCTTCTAAATCATTGCGAAACTTTAAAAACTACGTAAACATGATTTAAAATTTTAATAAATGATGCTTCCTCCGTCCTAAATTAAGTTTTTTACATTTATATTTTAGTTTGTTCTAAAATAAGTGTCCACTTTTTATTTTTACTCTTAATTATGAGATAAAAAGATCTCTCTATTATCAAGGTTAGAAGTGTGTGTAAGTTATTTGGGCTAAAGCTTTGATTACACAGCAACCTCAACCGGCTCCACGTGGAACCTGCTTTCAAGGACACTAATATAAGGGGGACATTTTTTTGGCTCACTCAACTGTGAGACCCGAGATTGAACCCGACACTTGTTTTTATTTGGGCAAAGTAATCTTGCCCCTTGTCAACTAAGCTACATCGGTCCAAAAATTTTGCGTCATTTTTATTGTGGATATTTATAACTTTTAGAAACAAGTAACCTTAGCTTGTCAACTTGCAAATAAAATGCTTATTTGTCTCTTAACATTAAATTAATACTTCAATTGAAGCATTAAACTCTAATTCATGCAAAAAAAAAAAAAAACATTTAAACCGTATGGAGTGGTGGCACATGCCACGGACGGACCCAAATTTTTTTTTAATACGGTAACACCATATAAAACGGTTGCACCTTCTAGAATAAAACGGTTGCATCTTTTATGAGCCTAATCTTTTTTAATTACCTTACCACAGAGAAACAATACGGTGGCACGTGCCACCTAACCACCCTGGCACATGCCCACGTTACAAATGAAAACTACAAACTTTTGGATATTGAAATCATCGTACAAAATTAATGAACATCAACAACGAAATTCATACATCCTTCTTTCTTCCACACAAAGTTTTTGTTGTCTTGTTCTGTTTTGCAGTCTTTGGATTCTGAAAACCCCAAGCACGTTAAAAGACAGCTAAAACCATTGTGTTTTTGTTCGACTAAACCTAAGCGATCATTAAAGACAGATTCCTCCAACATTGGTACAACGTTAATTGTATGTATATATAAACGTAAAACGATTTCTAAACGATCACTCAATTCATTCTCTCGGTATGGCTGTTTTGCGATTCGCCTTGTTACTTCTAACTCTGCTTGCTGTACCCTTCTCCGAAGCTGCTCGGCCTAGTTTGTTTGGTTCGAGTAGCAATGATGCTCCCAATAGCACGACGTGGGCCGTTCTTGTAGCTGGTTCAAGCGGTTACTATAATTATCGTCATCAGGTACGTATTCATGATTAAATTATCAATACAAGAAAATTGGCTTTATAAGACACCTAGATTGTCTAACGTACATGGAATACTTTACAGAACTTACGTTTATATGATCAAATTATAAAGCGTCATATCTAAAAGCGTTACAATAAGTTTATAGAACGTATTTAGGCGTTTAGGAACGTTTTTAAAATAAAGTGTCTTATAAACCCATCTTTTTATAGGACATAAGACACTTTTTCAAATAGTATCGTATAAAATAGTTAATACATCACTTTATCACTGCAGGCGGATGTTTGTCATGCGTATCAAATACTGAAACGGGGAGGGATGAAAGATGAGAACATAATCGTCTTTATGTATGATGACATCGCCAATAACACGATGAATCCAAGGCCTGGCGTTATAATTAACAGTCCCAACGGCTCTGATGTTTACGCTGGTGTGCCAAAGGTATGCTAATTACTAGCTCGTTACCAGTCGCATAAGTGTTCTTTTTATGACAAATGGTTCACTGATAACTCCATCGTTTGCTAAATTTGATCAAACCAACGGTTTTTGATACAAGAACATTAAATTGTGGTAGGATTACACCGGTGAATTCGTGACAGCGGCCAATTTCTATGCTGTGCTTCTTGGTAATGTCTCGGGTGTGCAAGGAGGAAGCGGAAAAGTTGTTGCGAGCAGTCCTAACGATAACATCTTTGTGTATTTCACCGATCATGGCGGCTCTGGACTTCTTTGTACTGTGTTGCCACAACTTATATTTTTGTTATCGAACTCCGTAGTGCAATTAAATCTTTGGTTACTCGCTAACATAATTCTCGTGTTAATTACCACAGGCATGCCGAACACGCCTTACATTTACGCGAATGATTTCATGGAAGTTTTGAAAACAAAGCATGCGAGTGGTACCTACAATGAGATGGTACGAAAGATTGATTTTGCACACGGTTTATCATACGATCATTGATCATGACAAATAAAATAACCATTCAAATGTTCATGTAGGTGTTATACGTTGAAGCATGCGAAAGTGGAAGTATTTTCGAAGGTCTTTTACCCGAAGATCTAAACATCTACGTGACAACTGCATCGAATGCGAACGAGAGTAGCTGGGCTACATATTGTCCCAGTATGGACCCTCCCCCACCTCCGGAGTACGACACTTGCTTAGGTGACTTATACAGTATTTCATGGCTGGAAGACAGGTATTCTTCGCACGTACAGTCTGGTTTTTAGCGACGTATTTTCTTCATTAGCGACAAAACGAGCCGTTACAAAAGAGTTTTATTCAAGCCTGTTCATTTAATCATGTATCTTTCTTTTTTGTTGCTTGTGGCTCCTAGTGACTCTGAAGATCTGAGTACTGAAACCTTGGAAGTACAATACTCGAAGGTTGGTATTAGGGTTTTCCGTTTCGATTATGAGGATTTCGGAAAGCCAATTACGATTACGATTACAAGTATCTGTCGTATATAAATATATACGGGGCAAATTATACCGAAACAACTTGAAGTTTTCGTGAAAACAAGTTTGTAAGTCCGCATGTGGACATGCAATATTCATAAATGAAACGTCAATGAACGTTTTACATGTAAAAAACACAAAAAATACGTTTACACATGTAACTACTCATATACAAGAACCAAAACACGTAAAACAATATGAATCATAGCTTACAATAACTGGTTTTCCACGGTTTCTAACTTTTAGGTGAAGACGAGGACTTACAATAACGACTCTGCAGAGGGATCTCATGTGATGCAATATGGTACTCTAAGCATAAGCAATGAAACTGTTTCGGTATATCAAGGTTCTGCTCCCCGGAACTCCTCCATGAGTTCAGTTCAATCGTTCGACTCCATGGGTGTTGTCGATCAAAGAGATGCAGATATCTATTCCATGTGGCAAACGGTATATATATGTTGTATACTCGAATTCGTACATGATAATGAACAAAAATCATAGTTCTAATCACAATTTCCGTTACCAAATTGCTGATAGAACTACGTACGAAAGCTAAAACTAACTACGGATTAATCTTTTATGTGAATTTTATGTTTTGCAGTATAAGAGATTAACAGAAGGATCACAACAGAAAGAGGAACTACTCAAGAACATCGAAGAAATAACGGCACATAGGGCGCATTTGGATAGCAGTGTCGACGCAATCAGAGGCTCTTTATTAGGCATCGGGCGTGGAACAGGGAGAAATGAAGGATCTGCGCTTGTCGATGATTGGGATTGTCTTAAATCCATGGTGAAAAAACCTTGATCTTTTCTCATTCGCTTTATCGTGGTTTTGCTTAGATAATTTTACTTGTTTACTAACTTTTTGAACTTTCGATTGATGAAGATTCGAACATTTGAGACACATTGCGGATCATTAACTCAATATGGCATGAAACACACACGAACGTTTGCTGATGTATGCAACAATGGCGTTGCCAATGAAGCCATGGACAAAGCTTCAAAGATGACATGTAGCTCGTATAATATGGGGCAATGGAATCCTACGATTGTTGGTTATAGCGCATAATCTATATCGAACGGAGCCAATGATAGAAGGAACAAGTGAAGAAGGGTTTCGTTTTGTTTTTATTAAGAAACTTTCGTTTGCAATAACGATGGTTAAGTCGAGTTGATGCCATGCTGTTTGAAACCTGTGCTCAAACAACATGGCTTCTTGTTACTTAACCTATCTATATTTGTAACTTTGATCATGCCTACTTAGAGGGACACAAAAATAAAGGGTATCGATCGATATAGTCAATATTATGTGCAAGTATATCTTTTTATATATCGTTTTGTATTATGTAATAAAATGTCATATTTAAAGATGTTATAATAACTTTAGAGGACGTTCATAATTCTTGCTATATTTCGTGATTTGGCCTTATATTTTTTTTTCCGCTTCTATTTCTCATTTCTTTCTCTATTTATCTTCCAAAATGGTTGGTGAACAACATGATGCATCAAACGAACAAGTTGCCCAAGTTCTTTTCGAGCACAAATGAAAGTCCGAGATTTGGAACACATACAACATAGTGATCCTCACGAACGGGAAAAAAGGTGCAACGCAGAATGTGCCAATCTCTACTTGCGGCGGAGGGAAATTCAACTTTAAAGCGACATAGCGAAAAAACGTGCTTGGGGTTGAGGTCGGGGGACGATTTAAGCCAACCAATACTTGACAATCAAGGTCAAATATGGACATTTGATGCCGAGTTGAACCGGCAAATAACAACACAATGTATCATTCAAGTCGGGTTGACGTTCGGATATTTTGACAACCCTCACATTACGAAGTTGATCAAAAAAACACTACAACTATGATACAAGCTGGTAAGTCTTCAAACTTTTAGACGTGATGCAATTAAAATGTGGAAAATGTGTTAAAAATGAAATGCAACAAACGTTTTCTCATTTTGCTTAACAACATTTCTTTAATGTGTGATGTATGGAGCGCGCCACATGGATTGTCAGTTTCTTATATATACACAGTGGATTGATCCGCAATCGTGGCAATTATTCAAACGTATAATCACGTTTGAATTGTTCAGTGCACCATATTCGGGTGCACGCCAATTTTCAATTATTAAAAAATGTCTTGCATTTTATAATTTATCTTGCTAAAATAATTAGAATTTCATTTGATAACGTTAATAATAATAATCTATGGAGTCCGCGATATATATTAATAATCCATGCTAGTATCCGTAGCTTTGGAGTCCGTTTTTTTCCTCTTAGTGGCATGATTATTTCCGTACGGCGGACAAGACTAAGCCTATAGTCCATAGAATGTTGTGTATGTTTGAATGATTACTTGGATAGAGTTGATAGAATTCAACACCCGACATCATTAGAGGTGGAGATTGAAGAGGTGAAAGAAAATTTGGAAGAAAACGAAATCTCCATGGGACTAAGTATGCCGTCTACTACTGATATCGACGATACTTACTCATAACATGATGATGATGAGGAACTCGACATTGATGACCTTGATGACCAATATGCTATTAGAAGAATTCAAGCCATCAGAACTCTTCAAATTAATCCGACATTGGATTACGATAGATGTAATAATACAATTTTATGTGTTTTTAAGAAAACAATAATGATTTTATTTTTGAATAAAATATAAATTTGAAAATATCATAAAAATTTGAAAAAAAATATATATCAATGTTAATATCAAATAAACTATTTAAAAGTTCTCATTTTTTATGTAATTTCTTTAATTTATTTTTTTATTATAATTTAATTTATGTTTAAATGAAATAATTTATTTTTGGTTTAATAATCTAACATTTTATAAAGATAATAATTAAGTATTCTGTTAGAACTCAATAATTATCCTAATTATATTTTAGATTTTTTATTTTAAAATGAGATGTTTATCCTATATTTGATTATGTTTATCTGCAGTTAGTTAYACGAATTCAAATATGGAGCTTTAATAAGTTGTACTTACGCACAATCTACTTGTAATCTTGAGTTTTAAGTAATATGAATTAATAAACAGTACTTTACGTATAAAAAAATGATTTTTAAGCGTTTTTGTCAAATACTTTATAATACAGTATAGATATCAAAATAGCACAAAGGTAAAAAATTAATAGAACAATAAAGTTCTTATAATAACCTTTAGAGCATCTTGAATGGATTTTCCAAGATGCAGCAGATTTTTTATTCTTAGGAAAAAGAATAATTTTTTTATTCTTTCTATTAATGAGAATCTTAAAATTAAATTTAATAAAGAAAAATAATATTTTATTAATTTTTATCAAATAAATTAATATTAGAAAGGTATCCGTACAATACAGTGTGATACATCTTGATTTTATTGTTTTATTTTATTTTTTTGTCTATTGATATAATACAATTCTATATGGTTTTTGAGAAAATGATAATGTTTTTATTTTTGAATAAAAAATATAAATTTGAAGATATTGTAATTAAAATTTTGAAAAAAAATATCGATATCAACATCAAGTTAACTATTTAAGAGTTCTCGCTTTTTGTATATTTCTTTGATTTAATTAATTTTTTTATTATAATTTAATTTAGGTATAATAATGATTAACTTATTTTTGGTTTAATAATATAATTTTTTATAAGGATATTAACTATTCTATTAGTTTAATAACGAATCATTTTTTTTTGATTTAATAATATAATTTTTTATAAAGATAATAATTAAATATTCTATTATAACTCAATGATTATCCTAAATTTTAGATTTTTTATATTTAAAATGTGATGTTTATCCTGTATATGATTATGTTTATCTGCAGTTAGTTACACGAATTCAAAAATAGAGGTTTAATAAGTTGTACTTATGCATAATTTACTTGTAATTCTGAATTTTAAATAATATGTATCAATAAACAGTATTATATGCATAAAAATTGGGTTTTAAGAGTTTTTGTCAAATGCTTTATAATATAGTATAGATAATTCATATTATAATATTTAAAATAAAAAAGTTTTGAAGATGAACTTAATTTATTTTTGTAGATCGACTATTTTAATTCTCAATTTCATACAATCGTTAGAAATTTTCAAAAGTGACATGTAGATGTTGTTTGTTTATCTTTTAATAGTTCTATAAAGTGACAACCTCTAAATCGTTAAGAGGTGAATCTTGTTTGGCAAAAAAAAGTCTGCCTCTTAATAGTTTTAAAACTCTCTGAATGATTTTGTATCTTGTGACTCCCTTAACCACTCAGCGTTCTAATTTCATTGTAAACAATTACCAAACAAATTATATTTCATTTTGTACTATATCATGAGAATTTCTTGGTCATTCTGACTATTTAATCATTCTGTATCAAATCATTCAACAACTACCAAATAGCTATATAATAAAGAAAATAGAGATTTGAAAAAACTGTTAGAAAATTTAGCTACAAAAGAGATTTCTAAACCATTCTCGAAAATAGAAAAAGTAAAAAGGGATTAATATCCACCTTTGCAATCTCGGAACTTATTAATTAGATTTAAAAAATATATATTAATTAGATTTAAAAAAAATATATTAATTAGATTTTTATTTTTATTTTTTTAATGTGCTTTTCAACAATTATTTATTTATTTATTTGCAATAAATATTCTTTGACGAAAGAAAACTTGTCCCTAATTCTTTTAATTATAAATTTTTTGTGGTAGTAAATGCATTAATTATTTTTACTATATAATTAGAAGGATACTCACGAAATGTAACGAGATATATCTTGATTTTAATGTTTTGATTTATTTTTTGTTTTTGTCGATGATCTAAAACGGTTTTATATGGTTTTGTTAAAGCGATAACTTTTTTATTTTTGAATAAAATATAAATTTGAAAATATTTTAAAATTTTGAAAAAAAAATATAGAGATTAATATCAAATTAACTATTTAAAAGTTCATTTTTTTAATAATTTTTTATTCAATATTTTATTATAATTTAGTTTAGACTTATAACGAAGTAATTTATTTTTGGTTTCATAATACAAGTTTTATAAAAACAATAATTAAGTAATCTGTAATAACTTAACGATTATTCTAATTGTATTTTACTTTTTTATATTTAAAATGAGAGTTTATCCTTATTTGATTGTTTATCTGTTGTTAGTTACAAGAATTTAAAATGAAGCTTTAACAAGTTGTACTTACGTACAATTTAATTATAATCTTGACTTTTAAGTAATGTGCATTAACAAATAACTAAAAAGGTACTCGCACAATGTAGCGATATACATCTCGATTTTAGTGTTTCATTTTTTTTGTCTTAATCGATGTTATAATACGGTTTTTTATATGGTTTTGCGAAAACGATAATGTTTTTTATTTTTGAATAAAATATAAATATAAAAATATCATAAAAAATAAAAAAATATTGATATTAATACTAGACTAACTATTTAAATTTTTTTCTTTTTTGTGTATTTCATTAATTCAATTTTTATTTTTGGTTTAATAATATATTTTTTTATAAAAATAATAATTGAGTATTTTATTAGATTTAATGATTATCTTAATTATATTTTCGTTTTTTAATATTTAAAATAAAATGTTTATCCTCAATTATGTTTATCTGAAGTTAGTTATACAAATTCAAACATGAAACTTTAATAAGTTATACTCACGTATAATTTACTTGTAATCTTGAATTTTAAGTAATATGCATCAATAAACAGTACTTCATGCATAAAAATGGTTTTTAAGAATTTTTGGTCAAATGCTTTATAATATAGTATAAATACTTTATTCATAAAAAATGATTTTTAAGAATTTTTATTAAATATTTTATAATATAGTATAGATAAAACAATTGCCATTATTTTTTTCCCTTATTTATAATCCATTCTTTGTGTTCTCTATTTTTAAGTTTGTTAAGGTATTATTATCTAAAAAAAGTTTGTTAAGGTATTAAATGCATTAAATTATTTTTATTAAATAATCAAAAAATGTGATGTTACTTTTTTTTTCATTTTTTTATTCATGAATTTGTTGAGTTATTAAATGCATTCAATATTTTTATTATATAACTAGAGTAGTACAATTCATTCGAACTCATTTCTACTACTATTGAATCATTATCAGATCTTCCTGATTCGATTAATTGATATGGCACATTGGCCAACGATTTTTCAACTCTACTTGATACTACTATTCGTGCATGTGGCACAATTCTCCGAAGCTACTTGGCCTGGTCCTCGTTTGTTTAATTTGTCTGGTTCGATTAACAATCAATCAACAGGAGATCTTGGCACGACATGGGCGGTTCTTATAGCTGGGTCAAAAGGGTACTATAATTATCGTCATCAGGTGATTATTTCCTTGATTTTTCGTTTACGAGTTTAGGATTGTGTTGTCATAGATATGTGTTAAAAGAGCTAAATGGATATATTAATGTATCATCTTATATGTGTATCAATTCAGGCAGATATTTGTCATGCGTATCAAATACTTAAAAAGGGAGGATTAAACGACGAAAATATAATTGTCTTCATGTACGATGATATCGCCTTTAATCCATTGAACCCAGTCCCTGGTATCATATTTAACAATCCCAGAGGCCCAGATGTGTATGCCGATGTGCCAAAGGTATGCTAACTATTTCTTTAATTTACATCAAATGCATAGATTAAACTTCATTGAATTGAATCAAGCAACGATGATTTTGAAATTGTGCATCGGAATCATGTTAGGATTATACGGGTGAAAATGTCACGGCAGCCAATTTCCATGCTGTGCTTCTTGGCAACAAAGCAGGTGTAAGTGGTGGAAGCGGGAAAGTCTTAGCAAGTAAACCTAACGATAAAATCTTCATATATTACGCTGATCATGGTGGCCCTGGAGTTCTTGGTATTGTGTTTTCGCCTTCAATTTACTTTTGTTGATAAATGAAAATGAGAATATTAAAGATCGTGATTTACTAACATAATTACCATGTCAATCACCATAGGGATGCCGAACACGCCTTTCATATTTGCAGATGATTTGATCCAAGTTTTGAATCTTAAGTATGCCAGTCGTACCTATAGTGAGATGGTAAGCAATACAAACACATACTTTGGTCCAGATTTATCGTTGATCATCTTGTTAGGAATATAATCATTCTCTAGAAGAGTCAGAGAAGATAAGCTATCGCTCCCTCTCTCTCTCTCTCTCTCACACACACACACACACACATATATATAGGCAAATGATCGTGTAAGAAAGAGAGTTAAGGTGAGAAGCGTAAGAAGGGATATGGACCCTTGATCATCTTTAATCTCAAACCCACCTTGAATCGCGCTTGATATGGGGACTGATCAGATGCATCTCCATATATCTCATTTTGGTGCATCTCATCCTAATGTGCATCTAAGAATGGAGATCCCTACTTACGCTTCTCACCTTCGTTTTCACTGGAACCCAATCCTATTTATGTACAATATGGTCAAACGAGAACACAACCATTTTGCAAAAACACCCTTTTACTGGGTTTCTCCCGTTTGAGAACTAGAAATTCATTTGAGAACCCGATGGCCCAACTATTCATGATGATTCACACTAGATAATGAAATTATTGACGATGAATGTCGTGATGCATATTGATGAGAAAAATAATTTGTAAGATCATACATCGGTTGGAAAGAAAACAAAAGTTGCCTTATAAAGTACTGAATACTATTTTATTAGACATGTTTTAAAATCGTGAGGTCAGGTTTAGACAAAACAGAAAATATTTGGTACGGTTTGATATCTCCTTTCTTAGCCTAGGATGTTACATAATTCATAATGCAAATACTGCAAAAATGCATTAAACAGATGGCATTGAAATCTTCGATCAAACAAGTATCAAGGCTTTCTGTAGACTTCTTTCAGTTTAATAATCGCTCTTTATTAAAGGCACTCGATTAGCTGGCAAAAGTGCTCAGCGGATTGCCCGTTATTGGTGCGCCCATTGGTAGTGCGCTGGCGGGTTTTTGGGCAGTCACAAGGGATTGATTCATAAATGATGAAAATACATAATATGATATGAATGATTATTCAATGTTATTTCATCATGAAAAGTTGGTTCCCAAGTTTTCAATAAATTAGAGGTTCCCAATGGAACCCACCCCTATATATGTATGTATATGTATATGTATATATGTATGTTTTTCGGTCTACTATTCTGTGTCTAGTCGATGTGAGACTCCAACACATCGATTATGACTCGTTTGAATCATTTGACTGTTAATGTAGGTCATATACGTTGATGCAAGTGAAAGCGGAACTATGTTCCAAGGTATGTTGCCTATGGATTGGAACATTTATGTGACAACTGCAACAAATATGTACCAAAATAGTTGGGCCACGTATTGTCCCGAAACAAACCCTCCCCCACCTGCAGGACTCGAAGTTTGCATAGGTGACTTATACAGTATTTCATGGATGGAAAACAGGTACTTTTTGTTGTTGCAAAGTCGAGTTTTATATAATGAAATAGTTACTATACAAATTTACAGCAACCTAAATAAATTTTGCTTTGTAGTATTTGATGATGCCTGTTGATTTAGTCACTTGCTGTTGTTTTTCGTGACTTTTTGGCTCTTAGTGAATCGGAAGATTTGCGTAATGAGACTTTGAGACAACAATACTTGAAGGTTGGTATTAGGGTTTTCTTTTCATTTTGTTCATTTAATCTTTAAGGCTTTGAGAGCTTAATTATTAAGATCACAAGTATCTGAAAATCAAAATCACACAAAATGTTTGCAGGTGAAGATGAGGACTTACAATAACCATTCCTCTCATGGATCTCAAGTGATGCAATATGGTACTCTACACATAAGCAATGAAACTGTTTCAGAATATCAAGGTTCGTTACCTTGGAGCTTGAACATGAATAATTCAGCTCAATCTTTTGAACCCATGGGTGTTGTCAACCAAAGAGACGCAGATCTCTATTCCATGTGGCAAACGGTATGTACATAGTATAGCTGAATCCTACACGATACCCATCAGAAATCATATATAGTTCTAATTAATTTTAATTTCTGCTACCAATTGCTGATAGAACTAGTATCAAAACTAAGGTAAACTATCGAAAATCTTATGTGTGATTTCATGTTCTGCAGTACAAGAAATCAACAAAAGTATCACAACAGAAGGATGAACTACTCAAGGAAATCAACGAAATAACGGCATATAGGGCACATTTGGATAGGAGTGTCGATGTGATCAAAGGCTATTTATTAGGGAAGGGACATGAATCAGTTAGAAGTGAAGGAGCAGCCCTTGTAGATGACTGGAAATGTCTTAAGTCTATGGTAATAAAAACTTGATCTTTCGCGTTCATTTTATCAATAGTTTTGCTTTTTTTTTTTCTTGTTTATTAATTTTTTTGAACTTTTGATTGATGAAGGTTCGAACATTTGAGACACATTGTGGATCATTAACTCAGTATGGCATGAAACATACACGAACATTCGCAAACATATGCAACAACGGTGTTACTGCAGAAGCCATGGACAAAGCTTCAAAGATGGCGTGTAGCAGATATAACTTGGGGCAATGGAATCCTGCGTTTGTCGGTTACAGTGCTTGATCTCTATATATTGTAACACCGATTGAGATCTAATTATAAGTTAAACAACATGACTTTTGGTTGCATAAACCAATCTTTGTAATTGATCGTGCTTGACAAAAAAATCAAAGGCATCTAAATTGTGATCAATATGATCTGCAATAGTGCAAGGGTTTCTTTTTATCGAATAGATAAGGTGCTATATACAAACTGTTATATATGTACAAACTTACCGGGTTGATAACCGGTCCTAACGGGTCTGGGGCCTTTGGCCCAATGGCTATAACTGGACCTTAAGTAATAGAACCGATCGGTAACAATGACTAATCCAAAGCTTTTAACTTTTTTAGAAAATGTTTTTCTGTTTACGTGTATGTAAAAAGGGCTATGTTTATTTGAGAACACAAAATATTTTTTGAAGCATAAACGAACGAACATGAACACAAAGATTTTCGTTCGTTTACTGTTCGTGTTCGTTCAATTAAGTTAAACGAACGAACGAACGAACACAAGCCTCTATTTGTGTTCGTTCGATTCATTTCATCCCTAGTTGAGGAGATGAATGACGTCAAGGGTTTGGCCAATGAATCCCAATCGCTTAATCTAATTAAAAACCCCAATATACCATTCATGTTCCGAATTTAGTCCATAATAAACTATAAATCTTTAAATTATTTCAAAATTATCAACGTCTTTCATGTCCATAAATTAAAATCAATAAATGGTTAAGATTGGTTTATAAGGTTCTTAGCTTTTTTATGGTTCTTATATGACATAAATGTTTGTCGACTCCATCTATAATCCCAAAACATGCAACTCCAGTAGCTACTCTATTTTAACAATTCCAACATTAATAATGTTATTAAAATATCTTATAAATTCATTATCTCAATTCACTTTTATAAAAAAAAATATAACACATTCAACATAGTTGGAGGATAATAAAAAAATCTCATAAATCTGAAAAATCTTTATTTTAACATAGTTGTTGGAGACGCTCTAATTAACCAGTTCCTAAAACTAATACAGTTACTTGGATTACCAAGATGGCACAAACGTAACCAAAAAATAGAAGAATAAAGTTCTTACAAGAACCTTTAAAGCATTTCGAACGGATTCTTCAAAATAGAGATGTTGGAGATTATTGCTTCAACAAATTCGCTAAAATAGAGAAATTAATAAAAAGAGAGTGTGAAATTCTTTAAATTTATAGAACTCTAAAAAATTGCTATTTTAAAAATTTTGACTTCTAATATAATTTGCTATTTTAAAAAATATGCTAAAAATACAAAAACAAATATAAAATCAATATAATAATAAAACAAAAACCCAATATAATAAATGTCTGAAAATAAATCTATTATTAAATAACTAGAAGGGTATTCGCGTAATACAGCGAGATACATCTTGATTTTAATATCTCATTTTATTCTTTATCTCAGTCGTTGTTATAGTATGATCTTATGTGATTTTTAAAAAAACGATAATGTTTCTTATTTTTGAATAAAATATAAATTTGAAGATATCATAAAAATTTGACAAAAATATATCGATATTAGTATCAAAGTAATTATTTAAAAATTCATATTTTTTGTGTAATTTTTTAATTTAATTTTTTATTATAATTTAATTTAGGTACAATAACGAAATACTTTATATTTGGTTTTAATAATATATTTTTCTTATAAAGATAATAATTAATTATTTTGTTAGAACTCGATAATTATCTTAATTATATTTTAAATTTTTAAAATTTTTAAAATGAGATGTTTATCCTCTATTTGATTATGTATATCCGCAGTTAGTTACACGAATTCAAACATGGAGCTTTAGTAAGTTGTACCTATGCATAATTTACTTGCAATCTTGAATTTTAAGTAATATGCATCAATATACAGTACTTCATGCATAAAAATTTGTTGTTAAGAATTTTTATCAAATTCTTTATAATATAGTATAGATAGTCAATTACTTTTTCTAGGAACTGATTAATTAGGTTTTTTTTAATTTATTAATTTGACTTTCATTTATTCCTTCATGTGTTTTTCAACAAAAAAAATTATTTATTAAATGCATTAATTTTTTTACTTTTGTTAAAAGGTCGCCATTAATTTCTTTTCATTTATTTATTTATAAGCAGTTCTTTTATTTTCTTTATTTATAGATTTGTTGGAATATTAAATGCATTAACTATTTATTAAATAATGAAAAAAGATATGTTGTTACATTCTTTTTCATTTCAGATATAAAATAAATTAAATATTTTTACTATATAATTGGAGTGATCCAAGTCATCGAAACCAATTTCAACTAATATTGATTCATCATTAAATCTTCCTCGATCGATCGATATGGCACATTGGCCAATGATTTTCCAGCTCTACTTGATAGTACTGATTGTTCATGTGGTACAGTTCTCTGAAGCTACTCGGCCTAGTCCAAGTTTGTTTAATTTGTTTGGTTCAACGAATGATCAGTCAGCAGAAGATATTGGCACGACATGGGCGGTTCTTATAGCAGGGTCGAAAGGGTATTTTAATTATCGTCATCAGGTAATTATTGCCCCGATTTATGGTTTATGAGTTTAGGATTGTTTTGTCATAAATATGTGTTAAAAGACCTAAATGAATATATATATTAATATATGATCATCTCATATGTGTATCAATTCAGGCAAGTGTTTGTCATGCATATCAAATATTAAAAAAAGGAGGATTGAAGGATGAAAATATAATCGTGTTCATGTATGATGATATTGCCCTTAATCCATTGAATCCAATCCCTGGTATCATAATTAACAACCCCAGAGGTCCAGATGTGTACGCCGATGTGCCAAAGGTATGTTAACTATTCCTTTAACTTTTAAATAAAAAACTATCACTTTGATTTTAAATACTAGCTAGGTCCATCACAAATATTGTAAATAGTTATTTTATAAAATCTTTCCCCAAACAAAGAAAGAAAATTCAAAATTTAAAAAAAAAATTACAAAAAATTCAACACTAACTATATTATATTAAATAAAAATACATTTAATACTAATTAATATTTTCAATAAACTATTTATAAAATTGCAATTTCCAATTTTTTTGCATATTAATATTCCTTTCAGCCTTACTAAAAAAAATAACTTTCATTATATATATTTCCTTAAAAAAATTAAAATAATTAATGCACTCTCTCTTCTTAAAAATAAATTTTGGAGAATTATAAAAATATGAAGAATTTTCTTTCACCTTTATAAAAAAAATTGAAATCTATAAATGTTTCATTTTAAAGATTCTATTAAAAAATGGTTTAAGTTTTTATGTCAATCATAGTTTTTTAGAAGTTGTCAAATGACATAAACATCAAACAAGATACACCAAATGTATAAATTAGAATTTATTGAAATGAATCAAACAACGATGATTTTTAAATTGGGCATCAAAATCATGTTAGGATTATACTGGTGAAAGTGTCTCGGCAGTCAATTTCCACGCTGTGATTCTTGGCAACAAAGAAGGAGTGCAAGGTGGAAGCGGGAAAGTCTTAGCAAGTAAACCTAACGATAAAATCTTCATATATTACGCCGATCATGGTGGCCCTGGAGTTCTTGGTATGCTTTTCCGCCTTCAGTTTGCTTTTGTCGATAGATGAAAATGAGAATATTGAATTGTGATTTACTAACATAATTACCATGTTAATCATCATAGGAATGCCGAACATGCCTTTCCTATATGCAGATGATTTCATCCAAGTTTTAAAATTTAAGCATGAGAGCCGTACCTATAGTGAAATGGTAAGCAAGACATACTTTGGTCTGGATTAGTTTATTGTTAATCATCTTCTTAGGAAATTTAATATTTCTCTAGAAGATTCGTTGTAGCGAGAAGATAAGTTCACACACACACATTTGGTAAGAATAAGAGTTATGATGAGAAGATGAAAACAAAGCTTCATATATCTTTATTTACATTCAACTACCTTTATTTACCAATTTTTATCATCATGCACCGAAACTTTAACAAATTAATGCATGTGGAAGTGTTTAAATTTATATAGAAGTTTGTGAAAAGGAATTAAAAGTGAATATAGATTTGAAGAAAAAGGTAGTTGAAGGTAATGTAATTGAAGGTACTCAAAATAGTTGAAGAAAATTAAGTTAGATTAAAATGTCAGTTTATATAAAGGCTCCGAAGTATTCTCAATTTCTAATCATAATTGATACTCTCACATGATCCCTTGTACACACACACACACATGTGTGTGTGTGTGTGTATGTTCAGGCAAGAACATCACTGCTTTACAAAAACACGATAACACTCTTTACTATATTCAAAAGGTGTTCTCGCATTTGAAAACCAGAAATTCATTAGAGAATCCGATGGACCAACTATTTTATGATGAATGGTACAATATAATGAAAATTATTTATGACAAATGTTGTAATAGATATTGATGACAAATATAACTCATAATGAAAATACATGATATTCATGATATAAATATGCATAAAATATTAAATAATGAAAATACATGATATCCATTGTTATTATTCATGAATAGTTGACTCCTGAGATTCCCAATGGAACCCGTCCCTATATATATATATATATATATATGTGTGTGTGTGTGTGTGTGTGTGTGTTCAAACGAGTGTCTAGTCGATGTGAGACTATAACACAACAATAGTGGCACTAATTGAATAATTCGAATACTAATGTAGGTCATATATGTCGAATCAAGTGAAAGCGGAAGTATTTTCCAAGGTATGTTGCCTACGGATTGGAACATTTACGTGACGACTTCAACAAATATGTACCAACCTAGTTGGGCAACGTATTGTCCCGGTACAAGAACTCCCCCAACTGCGGAATTTGGCGTTTGCATAGGTGACTTATACAGTATTTCATGGATGGAAGACAGGTACTTTTTGCAAATTCTAGTTTTAATGAAGTATTTACCATAACAAATTTATAGCAACCCAATGACTTTCGATTTGTAGTACTTGATGAAGGCCTATTGATCTAGTCACTTAT